TCGTAAACGCTCACAAATGCGTCTGACGTCTGGCGCCGGTCGTACAACGTCGGGAAAAAAGAACTCTCCTCAAAGAGGTACCATAGAGGAAAGCTCAGCAGAAAAATTACCATGAAAATATTTATAGATAAAGCACATGGAGGCTACATTATGGTGGTGGGAAAATAACTGAAGCTGAGATGCCAGGTCAGGAACAATAATGTTGCAGATCCTTCTTTGGAATCTGCTTCAAGTATCACTAGATATATAGCAGAAGCACCGGATCAGATGTGGTAAAAATATTTGCTGCATGGACTAATGCTAATAGAACAAACTGTTAATTTTTTAACATCATAGAAGATTATTATACATTTCTAAGTTGACACATAACTACGATGTGAATGTTTGAACTAGTAAATTATAAAAAATAAGTAAATAAACTGGTTCTATAAAGTAGCCCTGGGCTTTAATTTAAAAAAATAAATTTAATTATGCTTTTTTTTTGCATTCATATTAAACTAGCATAGTGCCCATCAAAAATGACTGGTTTATTTTACATAGGATTGGTACTTCTATTTAAGATCCATGTAATATCTGTGAGTTCTGAAAAGCATTGCACACATATCTGCATACACACACACTATAGCCATCGACTTTAAAATTTTAATTTTTTTTTCTTTAGGATTGTGACGAACACCTTGTGTGTGTGTGTGTGTGTGTGTATATATATATATATATATATTAAATATTTTTTGTTTAAAAATATGATTTCTTCGTATACATAAGAGTTCTCATGTTTCAAAAACGAGAGCCGAAACCATCCAAATAATTATTAAAATTAAGTTGAATTGAGGTGTTTATTCCTGTTTCATCTTCAAGAGAAATTTTAGGAATAAGCTATCTCTTGGTTTACGTGTGTTTTTAGTCATGGTTTGTTATAACATTTGTTATTGTGGGAGTGGCTAGGCGAGTTATCTTCGTTAAGTGGTCAGAGAGTTAATTCTTATCTATAGATTCATCATCTTCTGAGAGGTTTTGCTCAGGTTGGGTAGGGTATCTATTTCAAGGCTAATGTTGGCGGTCATCCTCTAGTTAGTTCCCATTGAGGGATATTTTTATGGCGCACCTACATGTCGTTATGTGTCAGGAGGATTTTGTTTTATTATTGTCTATCTGATTATCTCTTTATTTATTTGTTTATTCAAGTGGGTGTTTTATATACAAACTGTATTACACTGAATTTCAATTTGTTTTTTGACGACTACAGAAAGGGTTTTTCCTATTTAATAATTTGGCTAAGCTTTTAAGACTTTTATTAAACTATAGGATTTTTTTTTTGCTAATTATTTAATGCGAAAATTTGTTGATGTCGGCAAAAAACCGTTAACTCCTGCCTTTATATATATATATATATATATATATATATATAAAGAGAGAGAGAGAGAGAGATGGATGGTATTCTGAGAGAAATGTACTAAAAATAAAGATGTTTTTTTTTTTTTTTAATAAAACTACTTTGAACAGTAAAAAAAAATAAAATAAAAAAAATAGATGTACTTTTTGTGCAAATATTCAAACATTTTTGGTCTGGACTAAAATATTTCATTAAGATTATAACATTTTATAAAAGATTCTCAAGTAATTTTAAAAACTTTGAAAATATGTTTTCCTGAGAAAACAGTAAAAGAAAAAATCATCTAAAAATTTCTAGCAAACTACTTATAAAATAAACATTTTGTTATTAATTTACAGATGTATACATTGGCTACTACACATATATGTCAGTATAATTAAATTACAATAATAGAGACAGCCTGAAGAGTAACCTATTTGCCAGCTTATAAGATGCATATATGGAAGATTAACTCACATTGAAACTCATCCAAATCCCCATAGATGTCCATTTCAAACTTTGGTAAGCTACCCAACTCAGTCATAATACCAGTGTATTAGATAGTGTAATATTTTCATATTTTTTAAAATTTAAATGTGCTGGAAAATAAGGTACATAACACCATTAATGACAGAGAGTACCATCATTTCTTTGCAGTTTGGTTGGTTCTTAAAGGAGTAAATCTATACCAAATCTTATCAGACAGGAGATCTTTTCTGTTAATTCATCCCAAAATATTAATTCACCCAAAAAATAAAAAGAATTTATATTTACTAAAAATTCACAGCAATATTCAGAAATGTCCTTTAAAATTTGTTTAAAAATGCATTCATTGTTATTTTTTGCCTTACATCTCAAAAGGAACTCATACAGATAGGAGTCTATCATGCTGTGATAAGTCCCAAACATGGACTTATTATTTTTCATTTCTTTTCCTTTGCAGCTTCTATTCATGACATTCACTGTCAATCTGTTAAGCTCAAACTCATATCATTAAGAGCATTTCAACAACTTAAGAAGAATATTTACTCTCTATAAGAAGTAAAAACATCACTCTCCTTGTTGATGGGTTATTGTATTAACTGCAGCAACTTCATGGCAAGCTAAACAAATTTTGATTTAAAATTTATAATTTCAAAAGAGTGCCAAAACTTTAATAATAATAAAAAAAAAAAACTTTGATTTAAAATTTATAATTTCTTGGGGTGAATTAATATTTGTGATAAGTAACCTTTCATTATTTGGGGTGAAAAGATCCCAGGCAAGTTTTTCAAGAATGTTAACATGATTATGTGATCACTATAATTTATTAGGTCAGGCCTTTATTGAGTAAGACTATCAACTGTTATAAATAAAAACTAAGTCTTTTTAGAATAACCCTTTTAACTCACTTTGTCACATTTCTGGTTGCTATGATTATAGATTTCAAATTATTTTTCTTTAATCCCCACAAAAATATCTTTTATAATTTCTTCTTTGTGACAATTGATTGCTATAACTAAATATGTGCTAAATAAAACTGAAAACTGAATTTGGAATACTTAATAATTTGATATTAAAGCTAAAAATTAAAAAAAAATTAAACCTTTAAACTTCAACAGCTGATTTTTGCAAATTCATATACTATTTCCTAATGTGAGATGGTATTACTAGGTGTTGGGAGGTCACCAAAAATAAATATTAATTACAGACATTCAAAGATTTATAGACTAAATTGTGCTTTTTTTTTTTTTTTTTTTTAATTCACAGTAAATCAAATCTTATCTGACTTAAATGACTATGGAACACAGGAAGTGTAATTTGATAATAAAATTTCAAGAGCCTTGATGTATTGTATTGTTCTATGACACGTGATCAGTAGTCAACTTCCTACCTATCATTTAGTTTACTGTACACTTTATATCTCTTCTACTTAATATATGCAAAGAGATACAATCCCATTTACCAATCCACTACACCACCAAAAACTGAAGAGATTTAATTGGTGTTTTTGGTGTTCTCAAACTTCTTTTACAACCTCTTTCCTTCTCTCCCTCTTCAGGTTTATGTCCTGTTCTATTTAATGGAGATCATAGTCTCATTTCATCTTCTTCCATGTCTGAGTCACTTCCAATATCATTCATAGGCCTGTGTTCTATTGCAGTGTCCTGATCTGAAGAATTCATGTAATTAAATCAATTCATTTGCAATAGTCAAATCTTGAGTTCCAAGTTTAAAAAATTCACAGAATCAGCTAGCTTCTCTTAATCTGTGAAGATATTGTAGAATTGATGCGTCTTGTTTCTGTTTAATGGACAGAAATTTGGTTCTTTTCATTATGGCAAGTTTCTTTGAAAGCCAAACTTCTATTTACAATTTCTGAAATTTCGATGAAATCAAATTCTCCAATTGTTTGGGGCATGCCATAATAGAAATGTTCATTATAGCTTCACAACCTGCCAAAGTGAGAAAGAGGTCAGTTATTCCATTTTCTTCCCCTCTTGCCTGATTGCCTTTCAATTTTTAACCTGAGCTGCAAAACACCAAATCTTAGTATCGACTAATTTTGGTTAATCCAAGCAACTTAAACATCCTATTGGCTATGCCATATTGTATTGTTTTCTATGAAACGTGGTCAGTGGCCAACTTCCCGCCTGTCTTTTAATTTACTGTACACTTTATATTTCGTCTACTTAAGATATGCAAATAGGTACAATCCAAGGCCATACCTATATTTACCAATCTGCTACAAGCATAAAATGAACTACTATTATTAAAGCCTGTGATTCTTATGATCTTGCCATAATGATGTACATAGAATTTGGCCCAATGTTAATAGATTCTCCATTTGCATCAATATTTTGAATAGAACTCGTTTTTAGGTATTTTTATTTACACTATTTACATGCAAACTACTGTCCTCATCTTTGGTGTTATTATCACAGCATTTCAGGCATTGTACCCACTGGTCTTCATCAGGTGCATGTTGATCTGGATAACCTACAGTGAATTTCGGACTGAACCCTTTATTTAATCTACTGCGGGTAGACTGTTCTTCTTCCGGCGCACATGTCTAGGGATATCTTGTCTAGTTCTTATTTTTAATACTGCTCTGTTATTGCTCACCCATTTCCACTGAGATCAAGTAAATACTGCCTAGCACTGAGATTGAACTCACAATTACTAAGTTACCAAATTTACAAACACTTTAATCCACTAGGTTATTGCAGCCTTGTTTTTAGGTGTGTGTTTTTTTAGCAATTTGCATCAAAAACAGACAATGTATAAAGTTACCTTTTAACTATTTAAAAAAAAATGAAATATTATATTTAAAAGTCATATTAAACTGGAAAATTTTTAAAAGTGAGTTAAGGCATAAAAGTATCAATGCTATTTTCCTCTTTTTTGGACATTTTTTAACTTTATGCACACACACACACACACATCTAGTATTTATAAGAAGATAATTCATGACAACAGTTCTAGTGTTCAGAACTGTATAATAGTTACAAAACAAATCACAGTAATTTTTTTTATTTTGCATGCCAACTATTTCAATATTGTTTGAAGAAAATTTGAGATTATCAATCAAAATATTATTTTAGGATACAGTTCAGTTATCTTACCAAATGTCTAATAAAATATTTACCTGGAACTTATGAATAGGAAGAGCATCAAAGAACTCATGTGCTATGAAACAAGAAAATTCTTGTGGGACATCCTCCACCTTGTGGTACCAATTGACTGGAATATTGAATTTGCTGATGCAATGGTTGTAAGATTCAGGTTCTTTGACTACAGCATTGGCCATAAAGCTATTGTTGTTACATTCCTGGAATAGAGTGTGACCAACAAGTTTCTGGTATTGCATTTCACTCATCTTGTTACTAACTTCCACCAGATGCAAGGAAACAGCATCTCTCATAGCAGGAAACTGAGAAAATACCTGCAAACAACAAAGTAATAATAAAATTTTAAAGAAGCCATTAAAAGAAATTGATTTTTGACTAGTTTTCTTTCATTTTAATTTTAGTTGCTTTCCATTGCAACAGCACAAACTGTTAATCTACAATCATTAGTAAATAGCATGGATTGGAAGTTAAAAAAAAAAGAAAAAAAAAAGGAGGTCTTAGTGAGATTTGAACACTCATCCCTTTTGGCCTGCAGGTGCCTGTTTTACTAAAACAGGAAATCATACAACCAATATAACAGCTGATTTGCCATTTACAGTTGGCAGAAGATCAAATCTAATGAAACAAACTTACTCTTCATTTTTTACCAACTGATCATTGGTGGCATAGTTGAGGTTATTGTTTGCATGTACACTACTATGTCCCCACCAAAATATTTATACATGAGTCTATGTCCCCACTAAATATTCATACAGCAGGAGCACTGGACCATTATGTGGCAGCAATATTCAAAGCATAGAGAAATGGTGGACTAATAGGTATGCAAGATAAATTCTGGAGAGAAAAATTGTTTAGCATGACATAGTAAACCAACTTTCTTAGCAGCAGACCTAGCAATGGATTAAATATAGTCTTTGTATTTCATGCCATCCCAAGAAGATGCAATGAGTCACTCTCCTAGAGGTTAGCATCAGCCATGCTGATAGAAGGGCAGAAAGTGATTTCTCAGATGACTTACATGCAAAAACATTTCTTTGATGTTAACCAATGTTGTAATAGTAATAACAGCATTAGCAGTCTCCATGCAGAAAACATTCAGCATTGACTGAACAGTTTGTGTTACTGTCAGTTGAAATTTATAAAATCTTTTTAACAGAACAATTTTTCAGAAAATTAGACTTCTCAAATCTACTATTATTACTCTTTTTTAAGAGTTTCCTTTCAAACCTTTTATTTTTGGTAGTGTAGAAAGTCAACATCTTGATTATATATTATTTTTTCTTCTAGTTACATGTGCTACACATATTTGTTGTTGACACTGTTGGAAATCTTCAAGTGATGCAGGTTTTGTTATTTGATTAAGCTCTTTGTAATTTTGTAGTGCCAATCTATAGGGTTGGATAAAAGATAGTGTCTTTAAAGATTTATCAAATGTATTTGTTTGAAGCCATATGTGATGTTAAACAACAAAGTATTCTTCCTTTCTTGGCTTGTTTAGTGGTATATCAACTCCTTATGGATCATTTAATGCCGAAATTTTATTTTCTTGAGAGCATTAGTAATTTCTTTTACAAAAATGTATTGCTGGTAATTTTTGCACTATGAAAATTTATTGCTTGTATTTTTAATATAAAAATGTATTTTTTATACTCTCATAGTGTTTTGACCCTAGTTTTTTTTATTTGTCCATAGCTGAGACCCTAACAGGTGCAACCACCCCAGGTTAGGGTGGATCTAGAAACAACAACAATTAAGAAGTGGTTCCTTGCTCCTCAAAACCTCCCAATCAGAGGCCTTGTTGCCAGATGTAGTTTATCGTCATACCCAGGACAACATATAGGAATAAATATAGAGAAATACAAGTTAATGAAGTAGATGCAATAACAGTGATGATTTTAATTTATGTGCCTTATTCTGAAACTCATTGAAATTTTATTTGCTTCATTGACAATTTATCAATTTTCTTATTTTGGAAAAAGACAATGAAAATAGAATTATTTTTTAATCTAACAGTTTTCATTAGTTCAAAATAAATTATTTTATTAGATTTACTGAATATATTTGATGATTGTCAATTGTTTTCACATAATTAGTTTCCACTATATTTGAATACAGGAAAAAACACAGAACTACCTAGTTATACTTAGTATTTTAATTACTATCACTGCTACTTATTTAATCTCCACAATATTCTACCCCCAAATCTGTTTCTATTCATATAAAATTCAAATGTTTATTAATACAAACATACTTCATCATCCCAATACTAGCTTTTAAAGTTTACTTTCATTGTTACAATGTTAATATATTTGAAACTAACATTCATCATTTTGCTTTTTATTTCCATGGTATGTCTGCTAAATTCCACACCAAAGCAATCAATACTTTTTACCTTAGAGTTTTTTATCAAAAACAAATTTCCTTCCTTTGTAGTTACAAAGAATTATATATATATATTTTTGTGCTGTAACAGCTGAAACAACTGTCTTCAGTAAAAACCAACATATAAGCTCAAGTCTATTATATATCAAATCCAAGTCTTAAATCTTGTTGGTTATTAGCATGCTTTCTGCTAAGTTGCTTTTCAGATATCAACAATATTTTAAAATTGTGCAAACACCCAGAAGCATTTTTCATTCATCATTATTTTCAAAGAAATATGTTTAAAGCAAATTCAAATGGTATAATTATAAAAAATTTACAGAGTCAGAATTAATGTAAAACAGATATTAATAACATTATTTCTAAAACAATCATTAATTGAATCATTTTATACATAATTTTATGGCATATATATGTGTAGTAAAAATGTTTTATGGTAATACATTTCTTATATACTTTGTTTTCAGTGAATATTAAGATGTTTAATTTAAACAAATACTTTATTGAACTAAAACAAAATAGTACTCTAATCTGAATTAAAAGGGATTTTACTAGACTATTAAAAATATAAATAAAATTAATAGGTCTTTCTTCTTTTGCTCTATAACAGGGATTTCCAAACTTTTTAAACCATCAACACCTTCAAGGAATCCTTGATCTCTCATCAACACCCAGGCATGAGGAAATTCAACATAGTATAATGGTTAGAAAGCTTGTTTTGCTATGTCAATTACAACTGAATAGTGAGTTTGATTCTTACTGGGTGCCCATACTTTTGGTCTTGAGCCACATCTAAGCTACACATAACTTTATATTTTGTCATTCTGTTTTCAATCTTTGTCTTCCTATATTAGATGTGTTTGTTCAAATAATAATAATAATAATGTTAACGAGGAAAAGTTTTACAACATAGGTAATAATAGGTAATAATTAATATACCTTTTCATTGAAGTGCTTGATATCATGAATGGAAAGGATATATTGATGAGTAATAGCAAAAATATTGATTAGTTGGAAATTAGTGTATTTTAGTTGTAAGGCCACATGATTTATTGATTCCACAAAAGTTGATAGCCACCACTTGTGGTATCTCTGATGTTTGCTTTTATTCAATTTTTATGGTTGCAGGAAAATTAAATAAAACCAATAAATAAAATAATAATGAATAGATAAAATTAATTTTCCCATGATGCAAGTTATAAAGAAACAGGAAACTGTTTCTGGTCACATGTGCGATTTTATGACTCCATTTCTGTAAAGAACAGAATATTTCTTTCCACTTTTCAAGGAAGTCATTTGAACATATTTTTCAGCAGCCCTACTTATGAAGTAGAGATTCAGCCATCCCATCTCAGCACAAGGCTGACTTGAGCTTGACCATCTTTACCTGATCTTATCCTTACTTATCCCATAAATAATTTCTGAACCAAAAAGGCAAATGGACATACTCAAGAGACATTTAGTTTTGTTCCAATACAGTCAACATAAAAGAAATAAATGTCCATAGCAGAAACTCAAGTTTTTTGTATGCTTCTTCTATATTCTGTTTACATATTGAACATGCACCACCACCAAGAAAAAAAAATAAAATAAAATAAACACAAAACAAACCCACAACCTTGTTAACATTCACATGTTAAAGGTGGACCTGACAGAACAAAATTATCAAAAAAAAGTTAATGATGTTTTCCAAAGCAACTGTGACTTGTATAATCTTAACTGTACCCTTCATAACAAAGTAATGTATCAAGAATTTTCTTTTTTTTTATTTAAAAAAATGTTGCATAAATAACTTACCCTTAATAAATCATATGCTAGAGTGCCACGGCCTGGACCAAATTCGACTACTTGAATTTTTGGTGGTTTTCCACATTGTATCCACTCATTTACACACCAAACACCAAGAAGCTGAAAATAAGAGAAAAACTAAAGGAATATTTGGTGCTAGTATTCATAGAAGTTATTATTTATCAAACAATGCCAAAAGTTAATGCACAATATATTCAATTCTTGAGCTGAAATTTAACAACATTCCAGTAGACAAATTTGATTTTTATCAGGAGAGAATACATAGATAAAGTGGCTTATCACTAAGTCATTTTTTATGTAGTTGTTATTAATTCAATAAAATTATTATAAATATAAATTCAGGGAAGTATTTGAAATTATCCAAAAGTGACAAATAAGTTAAAATCAGTTCTTAATTTTTGAGATCAGAATCTAAATCTAATACTATTTGTTATCTTTCCAAAAAGTATTTCAATGGGCTTGATTCATCTAAGCATAACTACTAGACATATAGGACTTTGTGAAGATCATTTAAACATATACATCAACTGAGAAACCTGTTGAAATTCAGATTTGGGGCAACTTATCAGTATTCTTTTAAAAGTCTAAGGATTTCAAAAAATGTTCAATTACCTTAAACAGTTATTTTACTTATAAGAGTAGATCAATTAAATCTGTAGCCAGATTTAATTATTATTGAATGAATTTTGATCTGAAATCCTCACTGTAGTGTTCATTGGTATATATTAATCTTTGTGATTATTATATACCACCAAATTAAGTGTAACAGCAAAGAAGGAGATCATGTTTAAAAATTAGTATTTGTTGTGTAAAATAAATGTTTTAATCAACATTAAACTACAGACTATAAAAATCTAAACCCATGCAGTGATATTTTGTAGTGTAGTTTTGTAATTAGATATGATAATATATTTTTATCTTTACACTGAAGAGAATAATGATATTTTAAGTGTTCATATACTAAGACTCTTAAATCAAAAGCTATTAGAATTTTCAAACATGATTGCAAAAATAAAAGCTGGCTTTTTTTTTTATTTGTAAGAGTTTGTTTAGTGGCATATCAACTTATGGGTCATTTAATACCAAAATTTAATTTTCTTGTGAGCATTAGTAATTTCTTTTACAAAAAATGTCTTAGTAGTAATTTTTTTTTCAAAAATGTATTGCTGGTATTTTTACTATAAAAATGTATTTTTATGATTTCATAGTGTTTTGACCCCAGGTTGGGGGTTAAATATTTGCTCATAGCAGGATGGACCTGGCAACAACAGCAATTAAGTGGTGGTTCCATGTTCCACAAAATCTCTCAATGAGGTCTTGCTGCCGGATGTAGTTTATCGTCATATGCAGGACATTATTTGTAATACAATCTGGATACAAATTTTAATGTAAATGCTGAACAGGAACATTTTCATTTTATACTCCATACGTTTTCACTAATTATTGAATCAATTTTCACAAATAATTGATTTCAAAATACACTGACTACTTTCAAGATATTTTTAATCATCGGGGTGACTAAGAAAGGCAATAAAGCCACTAAAACACAAGGAGTTATTAAGTGTGAGAGAATATGAGAAAAAGAAACATTATTAAGGAGAGAGAATAATAAAAGAACAGGAATTAAGAAGACATAAGATAACAATTAACATTGCATTTACATTTTTGAAGATCAGAGTTGACTGGAAAGCATGGAGCTGAAAAAGATTTCCATAAGTGAGAAATGCAAGAGAAGAAATTGTTAGCATAGAACTTTGAGACATTACAACTGTAAAATGATAAGACCTTCTGCTAATCTAGTAGTACACTTTAATTCATAAAGTCTAGATACTAAAGAGGAAAGCTCATCAGAACAATTACCATGAAAATATTTATAGAAAAGGTATAGGGAAACTACATCATGACTTAAATATATTTGTAAAAAGAAATGATATTTTATTTATTTTAAGGACATTGTATAAGGAGTTTCATTACTGATTTTGGTATTTTTTTCAGTAAAAATGATTCTTTCTTGGTAGATTGTGGTGAAGATATTCTAAATGCTTGTTTCAAATAGAAAATCTGTATGCATTAATTTGACAGTAATCAAAGTAAACAGACAACACTATTTTCAAGCAAGTCCTTTTATTCAACAATCTAAATAGTTTAAGACTATTTTAATAACAAATTATGATTTGGTGGACTTGCTGTGAGCAAATTTTTATATCCCTAGGGATTCAATTTATCAGATTTTCTATTTTCTGTGAGATATCTGATGAAGCTACATTCAAAACACAAAGTGAATTTTTTGTAGATCTTCTATGCATTTTCTTTATTTTCTAATCCAGATCTAGGCAGGTTCAGCAATTAAAAATATTTTTTACAAGAAATAACCATGAAAATTTAATGATTTTCCTATTTTCCTTTTCTGATTAATATTAATTCTTATGTTAATGATTGAATAAACTCATAGCAAGTTTTATGACAATAAAATATCCATATAAATTCCCCTATCACATTGTTAAATATTTAAGCTTAATAGCAATCATAAATATGAATCTTGGTCTTTATTCAAAGTAAGGAGTTACTAATGAAAAGATTTCAAAATTGACAACTTTTTCCATTTCACTGAAACAGACATTAAACACAGGAGAGTGTTATTGCCTCTTCTATCTTCTCTTATTTTTTTTTCTTTCGTTTTCTCAATGAAAGCAAGTAACATCTCTGATATGTCTTTTTCATCTTTCCACTCGATCAAAATGGATGGTCCATTATTTATGAAATATTAGCAGGACATAATATAAGCATATAGAAACTAAGGGAGGGACAAGTAGAATTATAATGATTATTTTTTTTGTATCTGTATATTTTAATTTTTTCATTGTATAGAATCTAGATCTATCCTCCATGAAAAAGGTGTTGTCTTTGTTCAAATAACCATTAATAAAAATTAGAAGACCCGCTGTAGAATGGACATATATTTTTCTGAAATTATATTCCTCATTCATTCTTGAAGCTTTGAATAACCAGATCCAAATTATTCTCTATCACATTAGGAAATAATGTATGTTTTGATAATGAGCTACAAACAATATTATTGGATAAGTTATTTCCAGACCTACATTCATCTACAAGCAGATGCAAACTCCTGAAAAGTGTGCGAAAACTTCTAGGGTCTGTTCATCATTTCAATTGTCTTCAACTGTCTCTGCTGAATGTTGATGTATTTAAAAAGTGGCTTTCTTTTAGCTATTCTGCCATAATAATCTGAAATAAAGTTACTGCATTGTTGTTTGGAGGCTGATTTTGACACATTATAATGACTACTGCCTTACAGGTTATTTTTTCATTGTTTCATTAGACAAAGATACATTTCTGATGGCCCATGTTGAGTAAGATGCAGTAATTTGCTTTTATTTCATTAGTAATTTGTATATTATGAAATGCTCTGTTTATAATAAACAGTATTAACTATATTTACTGGCCTGAATGTCTGAGAAATTTCATAGAAAATATGTTCTCCGACATGAATCGAACCTGTATCCTACACAGAAATGTCATTTAGCCTGATGTGCTATACCATTTAGCTACAGATGAAGCGTCTTTTCCCATTAGTTAGTCCATTTCATAATATGACATCATTTGTTTATGTTAAGATATGCTTCAAGCAGATATGAGTGTTCAAGAAAAGTCATGGGAAATTTGTAGTTTAAAAACAGTAATTCGACCTTGCTAACCAGATGCTTCCTCTGTAGCTAAATGGTATAGCATGTCAGGCTATATGGTAGTTCCATGTAGTGTACAGATTCAATTCCTGTCAGAGGACACATATTTTCTATGAAATTTCTCAGACATTCAGGCTGGTAAATGTTGTTAATACTGTTTATTATAAATGGAGCATTTATTTAAATATCTGTATCTATAAAAATAATATATAAATAATAAATATATTAGTAAGTTGTGTCATCATACACAGATGAAAGTAGAATTTCTAATTTTGATGCTTGTTTTTTTTTTTTTTTTTCAAACTGTCAAACAATATAACTCCTTTCAAAATATGGCATATGTGGCATCATGAAGTGACTGCTGTTATTTCTCTTGGGTTTTTATAGTAAACTGACTGTCAATGAACATATATTCATAAAAATAATAATCCCTGTCTATTTATTCTTTGTACAAACAAACAAATAGACATATAGTCTACTCAACCACTTAATGTATACTGTGTGTATTGTGATCAAGTGCTGTTGGTGAGATAGAGTTGCTTTCCTTTGGTAAACACAGGATCAACTCTAGCCAGTTCCACAGTGTTGCTCTGTCAAAGCTTACTGCACCCATGCTGTGTTGAAAGATCTGGGGAAAGAAAGGTTGATGAAGGGATATTGAAGATCTAGCTGGTCCAGTTGCAAGAAAGTGTTGCCAGGGAGACTGGCAACTTTTAACATATATAGAGTGGTGATTGGTAACAAGTGTAAACAGTGTTTATTGCAATATGATTAAAAATCATATATTCAACATAACAGAAAATAAAAGATAAATGTATGCTAATGTGGAAAGGAACAATTGAGAGGATAAGATTGATAGGTGATTGCACTTATGACTAATTAACTGAAAGTGTTTGAGCAAGTACAATGGAGATAGATTCAAGGGAGTCTTGCCAAGGAAGCAGCCATTTCAGCAATTTCCCTTCTAACCCTGGTCCTTTGCCTGGCATTGATTTTATGGAGGGGCAAGCTTTATTCAGACTTTTTTGATTGGCCAGTGGAACATTATGTAATCACTGACCAATCAAAATAATTTCTTGTGAATTGCCAGCAGAAAATTCAGATGACATAATTAAAGATCAGCATTGATAGCACAAGTCTCAATAATCTTTAATTTAAACTTTCCAATTTGGTTTCACTCATGATACTCAAAATGTCCTTGTTACCAACCCAAGTTGTTTTGAAAACATCTTGCTGAGCTTTGAGCCAGGATGATTTCTGGTAGTCGCTTCCACCTAAACTGCTCGTCAAGCATTTTGATCTTTTTAAAGGCTATTTCACCTTATGTTTGGACTCAGTAAATATTTCCACCTAAATTCACTAATTAAATTTTTACACTACACAAAAGTGATATAATTCTTAAAATACAATTAGAATCCTATTTTTCTTTAATATAGAAAAATATATTTCACTCCTTAAAATAAATTTTAGATTATTAGTTAACCTTCAACACTACACTTCTTCACTAGCCATATTGTTATAATATGAAGAGATACTATAAAGAACTTAATCAGGCCAAGAAACCCTTAAAAAATTGATGCTTGTTCATTTGATCAGATTTTTGGAAGTTTTTTTGACCAAGAACCTTTCAGTACTATCTCATATATGTATCTTACTATGTGGTGTGTCCCTTCAATACGCAGGCATTCATAGCTCTCCACAATTTCCTGTCCTTTGTAGCTCTTGGTAAGGTTTGTCTTTTTGCTATCTCTCCTAATCCCTGTTCTACTAACCATTTCTACAAGCTCATTAGGGAGGTCATTTTATGCTTTCCTCTATTTCTCTTGCCTTCAATATGAACGTGAATTTTGAATTGTCCATGCCCTCTTTCTTCATTATGTCCTAGAAATTTCAATTGTCTCTGATTCTAATATATGTGTCTTTTTGTTTCCATTTTCCCCTCTAACTTCCTCATTACTCACATGTACAGTTCATATATCTATATAATAAATGCCAATGTCAGTGTGGCACACGTTTTCAATTAAAGGGACACAACTCTCAATAGCTCATCTTCTATTTAATAAATGCCAATATGTCACTATGTCATACTTTTTCAATTAAAGGGACACAACTCTCTAACTTTCAATAGCTCATCTTACAGAAAATTTGGATTCCCAAGATTTCATTATTCCAATTGGTTTTGGTGATTTTTTACATAATTTTTTGCAACAATTTTTTTGTCTATCACATATGGCAGCAGTATGCCTTGCAAAAAGAAATCTCTGCTAAAAGATGACCAGATTGCAATCCAAAGAGCCAAGACTACAGTGAGGGAAAGAAAGTCCTGTACAAATGAGAACCCAGGTCACGTAGCAGCCAAGAGAGCTTCCAATATGAATATTCAGACTTATGAACTCTCAAACTCCTGAACAAGCTGAAAGCCCAATCAAGAAACCTTCACAGGAGCTAGCTTAAATGCTGCTCAATTATATAATAAACTTTAAATTTCTGCATACATTTACTATTAATTTATTTATGTTCAAAATGTAAGTTCCTTTTAAATTGTTATTTTTCTAACGATGAAAATCCAGAAAACAACACTTTTTCTTTATTAGTTATATTTTACAGGTATACAATTTTTGTATACAGACCTGAAGTTCTACAAAATGTTATTTTCTTGAATATGGCAGTCATTCTCACATTTTTTAAAATCCAAAATTAGTTAATTATAGACTTATGAAAATTACCATAATTAATGTTATTAATCTCATCATTTTAAAAATAATATTGGAAAAGTTTAACAAACATAGCCACAGTAAAACAGTGTGCCAAAAGGACAGCTTTTCTCTTAGCCCTAGTATTACTGCATATCCCCCTCTTTTTCTGAGTACATTTGTTAAATATTTCCAACTAATTCTTGTTAATAAAGAGTGTTTCTCATTTTTGTTATGAATTCTCAAGGAAAAATAATGTATAAAATTACAGGCTTTCAAATTACTTTAGAGAATTTATGTGATGAGAGCAAATGAAAGAAATGATCGGAAAATGCATTTTTTCAAAATTTATAATTCCAGTTATGTGTTTATTTAAATTTTCTTGTTCAGACATTTTTATAAATTTATGAATAAAAAAAATTATTTTCATAGTTATTTCTTTATGATATAGTTAATAATAAATATTGCATTGTAGTTGATTTCTATATTTTCATAATCTTATAAATATAAAATTATTCTTGTAAATAATTTAATAAATAATGTTTAACATTTTTGTCATCTCTTTTCTCACAAAAAATGTATAAATACAGTTTAATATGGTTGGGTTTTATTAAAATTTTCAAAATAACTTTTTAAAACAATAAAAATTATTAAATGTACAGTAATTGTTTAGAGTGTTGTTGAGAGAAAACTTGTCATTTTGACACACCCTTTTTTGCAGATATGTTTGTTAAACTTTGTCATAATATTTATAAACCAAATATCTATATTATACAATATTAAAACTGAAAAACATTTACTAATGTGAATAAGCAAATGATCAAATGCAAAAATTCCTAAGTGATATAATCTGCTTACCCACTATTGATCTGATATATAAATTTGTATGTTACATCTTATATTTACTGATGTATAATGATTTTTGTATGAAAAATCTGTTGAAATACTAATGTAAAATTTAGAAAATTCAGCTAGATGCTGGAAAGAAGAAAAGCAAGGAAAGTGATCTGTAAGAAAATAGAACAAACCTCTCCAAATAGCTGACTGATTTCAGGAGCTGTGATAAAATCACCTTCTACACCAAATACATCTCGATGCATATAGTAACCCTTCAGAAAAAAAAATGAAAGCAAAGTTAGAAATGTTATAAAAAAATGTAAAAGTAAATGAAAAAGTCAAAGAAAATCACAAATAATGAAAAACAAAAATTTATTAGAACTTGTGTAATAAGCTTCCTGAGAAATATCATTGGTAAAAATATATTTTTTAAAATTGACAGAAGTTATTTATTTTAATAGAGAAAAATATATATATTTCAAGTAGAAGTAACCTTTAACTCTTTAGCATTCAACACATTCAAACATGCTTATTAAATATCAGCTCAAAGTTTCACTTTTTGTGATCAAAATCTTATCATTTATGTGACTTCCTGTGTTATTTACAATGATGTTGTCATATATTACAGTAAGTTGAACATTGAAAACAAATATTTACAGGGTAGGTTTGGGTGGGTTGAATGCTAAAGGGTTAAATCAATATAGTTTATAAATCTCACAATACAGAAGAGTTGAAATGAAATGTAAAATTTCTCATCTTTAATTTTCTGATCTCTCATAAAACTAGGTAATCAAGTGCAATAATTTCTTATAGTAGAATTTGTGTTGCAGGTTTTTCTGGAACACACAGTTGGGACTATACACATTCTTCATGTAATCGTCAAAGTTTAGTAAATAAACCATGATATTAATTTGTATAATTAGGCTGTAATGTACACTTAAAATGGTGTAATGTGGTAAAATTAATCTTATATGATTTGGCTATCATGGCTTTATAAGCACTCACTTTCAACTTGAGAGAAAGTTTCTCTAACCTGGGTGAATTTATACTACTAATCTAACATTTGAGACAGACTATTAAATTATTCATGCTTGAAGTTTTTAAGCAGGTAGTTTTAATCATTGTGCTACACAGAAGTTGAAAAGACCCAAAAAACAGGATGCTATAATGCTCAAGCTATCAATATCAACAACTATTAGTTAATTTCTTCTCAGAAAGTAATGCTGAACAAAAGTCATCACTATCATAAATGAGTGCCATATTTAGACATAACAGCCCCAATCAAGGATGATGCCATGAAGATTTGTAAAACATAGATCGATGAGCTTAAGTGGAGAGACAAGCACTAGAAGAACCTAGCTTCCTAAACCAATCATCACAAAAGATGGGGGGGAAATGGTCATTGAAGCCTTACAGAGGGGTAGTAGTATAATTAAACTATCATCAAAGACAATATGTGATGGACAAATTGGAATACTAGAAAAAGTGAGAAATCTAATAGGGGAGGTCTACTGTTGAAAAATAAAAAAAGAACCTAATATTAAAAATTGAAATTAAGCTGTTCCAGATCTTGAAGAAGAATAGCGTTCATGTAAACAGAGATAGCTGATACAACATCAAAGTAAACTACTACACATGTAAAACCTGTCCCAAATGTATAAAGTAGAAATTCCAGTAAAACTTATTGTTAGTTACTGATGTTCAGCATGTTATCATTTGAGCTGATTCTTGACAAATATAGCCAGCCTATAGACAGGCAAGTTTTCAACCTATTTAAAGAACTCAATCCACTTAGTTGAAATAATTAGAGATTCTCCCATTCAATACACCCACTTGGTGAGTTATAAAATTGTAAGCCTATTCACCAAAGTCTCTATGGATGACATCCTGTCATTGTTTTCAGAAAAACTAGAGTCTACTCCAACCTTTGGGGGATGTATGTGCATCCTGATAGAAAATCTAATGAAAATGCTAATATTTTATGCATAAACAACACACTTCCAATTAGATCTAGACAGGAAGAATGTATAATTATGAATTCACCATTGTCTTTACTAATGGTGAATAAACACCTGGCATACTTTGAGGAAATGGCTGTATGAATAGCAACAGGTTGATATGTAGATGAGGCTTTCATAGGCCTCACCAGAAAGATGTGGAAGATCTGTTAGACCATATGACCAGGACTGGATTATGACCTTAGCGCCCCCAAGGTCATAATCAAGCCCTGGTCATATGGTCTAACAGATCTTTATCACAATCACAAGTCCCATAACTCACTAAAGGCATAGAGGTATCACATTTACTGCAGACACATGGCGTGTCTTGAGAAAGCTAGCCTGACAGAGCCCAACCCTCTCCAGGCTAGTGTGAATTCAGAGTTTTCCTTCTCCTAGACCAGTTACCATCCAAGGCTATAGAACCTAGTCTGTCCTGCTATTTACCCATAGCTAGTGGAAGAAGAGATGGATACATACCTTTCCTAAGGGTATTAGCACATAAGTGAACATAATGAATTTGACTGGAGTTTGAACTCACCCCTCCAAGTCTTCAATCTGAGCTGTAATCAATTACTCCACCGTGCCTCCAGATTTTTATAACCAGCATTATAACAATAAAACAATCAAAATAAATATGAGTTTGCCATCTTGATTCTATTTCAGTTTTTGAAACTATTTAGAAGTTATAACATCTGGAAAATTAAAATCATTGCTTTATAAAAGCTTGAAGGGTCCTAGGCTGCTGCCTATGCCAGCCTGAAGGATAAACTGGCCCTAGGCTGCCACTTATACTAGCCTAAAGGATAATTTAGCTGTAGGCTTCTGCCTATAGTAACCTAAAAGATAATCCAGCTCTAGGCTGCCATCTATACTAGCCTAAAGGATAATCTGACCCTACATGTGACCTTTAATACAGTTCATGCTTGAAAAGGAAACAATGGTGAATTAAATTTTTTGAATATACTAATAACTTGCACAGAAGGTAGGTTTAAAGTCATATACCATAGGCTGATATTCACTGAATAACTTGCATTATTTAAATTATGATTCCATCCACCAAGATAACATTGGTACTGCATGGGTACAGTAAACAAAAACGAATAAATTAGCTAAAGCTACCCTAGCTTAGATCAGAGGTGTAGTATAAAATATTCAAAGAAAGAACATTATTCAAAACTTTTCCAAAATAAAACCTTCAAGAAAAACAAACTAACTAAGAAGTGCATGTAGAACATGTTATACAGCTGTGACAGGAAATATTAGGGCAAGAACATCTGCTAAAGCACTAAGCTGTTTTAGTAGAGAGAAAAATTAAAAAATTATAACCTGAGGATTTTCCCCACAAGTTTTGATGTGATTTTGTATTAACCTGCTGGAAGATAACTGATTTTCTGATAACTAAAAGGTAGAATTTTTTTAAGTTAAATTTTATGAAATGAACCAATTTTTATTTGTATAACTGATAAGTTAAGTAACTTAAAAAAAACCCAGAATATATGGAAGTTTAGTCTTCTAATCACATCAGACTATAATAAATTAGGTCTGATATGTAATGTCAAAATGAGACAATACAAAAGATGAGATAGATCAAAACAGAAAGGCTAACAATACTTTTTCAGACCTAATCTTACGTAATTATTGAATAGTCTTAAAAGTAATGAACTGATAGAACCTCAGAAAAAGAAAAAAGTGACACACAATTATTTCTTCAGGATCAGAGATATCAACTTGAATTAGATTTCCCTCTTTATTATAAAATATTAAGCCAATAAAACATCTTGATAATTTCATAGTAGTGCTAACTTTCAGATGATCTTGAAAGAATATGTCTTAAAAAAACTATTCTGATGATTAATTGTTTACAAGTGAATTTCACTAAAATACAAAGACTGTTGGGCCAATCTCTATGTGATTCTTTTTGCCAACAGCATAATAAAACACATGGCCTTTCTATTTTAGAAAAAATTTCAAAATGGACTCATTTTCTTCTTTAGGCAAAACCTAGATATTTTTCTTGAAACCTTAACCAGTTTTCAAATTTTAAAACTTTTGGTGTCATGGGAATCTATGAAGAATGATTGAATATCACAAGCCAGTGTGAGGACATTTCTTCTTGATTTATTAAAATAACTGAATGTTGTAAAATAACCTCCCATAACGTTGAAATAATATCAAAAGTACTTACAGCACTTGGGTGTGTGAGGACAGTTTTCATATATTCTGCAACAGTGATAGGACCTGTGGCACGGATTCTGGCTTTAAGGTATTTAGATAGTTCGTTTTCTTGTGATTTAGATTCATAATGCTGATGCCTGGTATTTGGCAAGTACACTGAAAAATAAATGATGAACAAATAATAAAAAATGTATTTTCTGAATAAAATATGAGGAACAATGATGTTTTTCTTTGTATTCAATTTATTTACTATTTGAGGTTTACTATAAAAAATTGTAGGGATACAGAAGGCACTTATCTCCCTTTGGTGGAGATAAGTCATGTGACTAGTGCTTAAGGATGTCACTCCATACAATGACATAGATAAATCTGCCCCATTTGAATTTGGAATCCTAAAAATGGCTTCTCCAGACACAGGAATATCTCCATATTATATGTAGGACCCTTCCTTTTTGTTTTTCCATACACTCTGCTTTGCTGTATAGATATATGATATATTATTCTCCATGTGGGACACTTTCATATATGTAAATATATAGTTTTGTGTATGTCTTAGTGGTATAAAAGTCTCTCTGAGAACAAAGCAGGTTTTTCATTCCTTTTTCCTTTCAGCTATTCCATTGCGTTCATCAAGTACAGTGTTATTATATCATAGATATAATAATGCCCATAACTGGGGAAATATATCTTTCTACCATAGCTGTGTAACATTGCAAATTAATGCTCCTTTATATTACTTCTCCATTGTTATCTTCTTAACTTTTGTATCAGTTTTATAAGAATTTCTCTACATAAAATTATGGTAATAGTTTTAGCATTAAATTTTGAGGTTTTGTTTCTCAACACAAGAAAAGATTGGGGACCTCCTGGGGGAGTTCATATTTATTTATTTAAAAACTTTATTATAATTAATGACATGAAATAATAAATAAAACGAGAATGCATGTAATATTGTATTGAAGTAAAGAATACCCTGATTTGTACTGAAATCATCAACTATAAAGAATTTAGATGCATTTTATATAAAAGAAAATTTTATCAAAGTTTCAAATGACAACATGTTAACGGATACTTTTTTATTCTCAATGTAAGTAGAATTATTTTTCCTAGTAAATGGCAATAGTTTTCAAAGGAAGCAAATAAATCATAATGCAAGATTAATAAAACCCATGTAACCCTCTGGAAAAGAAACTTTTTTTAACTTCCATCAGCATGACTGATGCTAACCTCCAGGAGAACAACATGCTGTACCTTCTCAGTGTCACATTTTCCATCAACATGAAGCGGTACAATTATATTGAACCAATTGCTAAATCTGTTGCTAGGAGAGTCAGTTCACTATATCATGCTAGACAATTTTTCTCATCAGAATCAATCATGTATATTTGTAATATATGTTCTAATTTCCTTGTCTGTTTTTTTTTTCATTACAACATTCTGAATAGCCAGCTTATGTGTTAGAATGCCTAACCTTGATCTGAGGGAGAATATATTTCCTCTTTCATCTCCTTATGAATTTTTAGAGCTGTCTTTCTCTTACCAATGTGTTGAACTTGCGAGTTTCTATCACCAGCACCCCCATTTTTAGGTCAACTTCCACATGATAGTTAGGGAGTTTTATCATTTGTTCTTTTTTAATCAGTTACTCTTACATGCTATGGATATCTATGCTTGACTGACTGATTGGATGATTTGCATATGTTTTGAACCCATCAAATGTTTTTATCTTCAATGTTATTCTATGTCTATTATTTTGATTTCTTTTCAAAGAGGTTGACATACTTCTCTTTCAAACGTGATCAACTAAATCTGATTTTAGAGTTTCTCCATGGATAATAGTTTTCTTCCATATTATTTTAAGGGGGTGCTGGTTTTACCTTGTCACAAACAGGTTAGAATTAACCAATATACAATGATTACAATATCTCATGTGAAAATTTTTTAACTAAAATATATCTGAATATATATAAAACCATAAGTATCAACCATGTTAATGCATTATTGCTATTTGAAAATCTAGTTAAAATTTTCACAATAACTGATTTATTATCTGACTTTGGTGGTAGTTCTTTTCCAACATTTTACAGAAAAAGCAATTGTTCATTTCTTGGAATAGTACTTATCCTATAAAAAGACAAGGTCCCAATTTTACTTTTATGTTTATTTTTTTTTTTTTTTTAAACAATACTACATTATTGGTAGTTCCATTTTTCTGAAACAACATTAAGTGATTAATAAACTTTCTTACACTTTGATACCAGCTGTTGAGTATAGACAACTAGCAACGTGACAAAACAGTCGTGTGCTCAGAGCAAACAATGTAAAAAAAAAGTAGCAATTACATTAGTTTTGACATTCATATCATGGAAGAGGGAAAAGGTTAGCACTTGTAAAATAAGACTATCAATCATCAGGTTACTGTTATAAAGGTGCCATAGTTTCCCCACTTTGATCTTTCACCTGTGTTAATAGTTGAAAAAATTAAACTGTATAAAATTTGTTGTCCATTAACTGTGAAAGATACAATAGTGACAGAGGTTTTATGTTTTAGAGCTGAAACTAAAAATTATTGTACTTAAAATTCAAGTAGAAAGCTTGCCCTTTTAAAATCATCAATCAGTTCAAATAGGCAACAATATGTTTTTAAAAACACTTTACAAATTTCAAAGTAGCCATGTAATCCAAAGCAAGTGCACTGAATATACTTTAGAATGTGTCATAAGTTAGGAGTAGGTCTACTAATTTGTCACTGTCATTTTGGTAAGTGGCTAAAATAACAATATGAGAAATTAGGTGAAAACTAATTAATATTAATAGACAAGTGAGAAAAATGCTCAACAAATACTTCAAACTAAAACAAGAGCAGCTAATGGTGGAAATTTATGTTTACCTAATGCGATACATTCACAAGAAAAAACAAAGCAGTATTCAATGATATAGTAACAGAGAATTTTTCTGGTATATTAAGACAGACAAGGTATTCCTACTCATATTTTCATAGATATGCAAAATTGCATTAAAACATTTTCACAAATGAAATGTTGCAAACCTCTCACTGTTCTATCATTATTTCCATGGAAAGAGTTCAATCTATATTCCTTGGTTCCACCAGTTATAACTGTTGCAGTTAAGACCTGACATGACATGCACATTTTAGAGAACCACCTATTCCCTTCATATTCCATTGATGAGACATAAGTTCCACTCCAGCAGCTTCTTCCCATGAACTGTTGCTTTGTGGAACTGACTCATAAAGTGGGCTTCTTCAATCTCTACAAACTTAACCTGTTCAAGTATAAGGTGAACAATTATCTTTTCCACTTTTTTTTTTTTTTTTTTTTTAACCATTTCACCCTAAGCAAGGCAATAAAACCACTAAGGGATTATTGAGTTTTAGAGAATAAAAAAAAAAAAAAAAAAAACCACTATGGAGGACAGAGAACAATAAAAGAACAAAAATTATGAAAACAGTAGATAATCATAGATATTACATTTAAATTTTTGAAGATCAAAGTTGCCTGGGAAGGAAGAAGCCAGAAGAAAATCCCCAAGCAAGAAATCTGATAGAAGAAACTGTTAACATAGAAATTCCGGTTACATTTAGCCATTTCAATTATAGAATGATGAGACTTTGCTGCCAGTCTAGTACTTTGCTTAAATTCATAAAGTCTAAGTACCATAGTAATGGTAATTGTTCATCAGAAAAATTACCATGAAAGTATTTTTATCCACGTAAACTGTGCCTCTTACTCTGTAACCCTCTACTTTGAGTGGCTCTTGGACCTTGTACAGGGTGAACATCATTGTAAAAAATAAAAAAATAATTAACATTATTTGATTTTTATTTATTATGAAATCATATTTAATTATGATTATTACTAGGAATGACTAATATCAACAGCAAAAAACTTCATAGATGTACATTTAATGGCATATCAACTGTAGGAGTCATTTAATGCTGAAATTTAATTTTCTTGGGAGCTTTGAATTAATGAAAATATGATACATGTTATCCTGCTTTCACAATTGAATAGATGGTAGATGATACTCAGATTTTGTGCATATACATTTCTGTGGGGACATAATTACTAGAGGCGGTGATATGTGTTTTGTAGTTTTGTTGAAGTTATATTTTGGAATACATTTTGATTTATGAAATTGTACAATTTCTGCTATAAAATAGGTATTGCGGCAATTGTTTTTTAAAAATGTATTGCTGGTATCTTTACTATAAAAATGTATTTTTATACTTTCATCATTTATTGAAAAAAAAAAAAAAGTTTGAACAAAGTAACTATAAACAATGTTTTTTTTCTATCCTCTTCCAGCCACAATGATGGAGAAAGCATTACCTCGAACCATCACCAGTGAGACACACTACAAGAGCCACTCTGTTTCGTGAGGCTCGTCCCTTAATCACGACGCAATCATGCCAATCCTCCGAAGGAACACCATCGAACAAGGGCCAATAACCCCAGAAGTCTCCACTGCCACAGGAGTAAAAAAAAATCTATCAGCAAGAGAATAATATTTAACTATTTTTTTTTATTTCTGTGTCCAGGGCGATGGACCCCAGCTCAACCACGGACCTGATCAAATTACCGGACAAAAATGTATCCACACAGGTTACATCCCAAATTAACGACTTCCCCATTTTAAAAGGGAAAATGGTAATGCCATCTGGCTGCTTTCCATCACCATGGTTGAGGCCTACGGGTTCAATTTCATCATGTTTTGTTTTTTGTTTGGGAGGTTCACTATTTGTCCATCGGTGGGACTTTAACAGGTCATAGATGTACATCCTCATTACTATGTTATCAGAGCGCAAAGAGTCATTTACATAAATAAAATCTTTAAATTCTTCATATTTAAATGAGAAATTAATTTATTATATTCATATATCAAATGTGTAATTTTATACAAATTTACAAATACAAGAAACTGTCATTATCATCAATCAATCCTATTTTTGTTTTGCATGAACCCTTTATTTAGTCCACAGGAGTAGATTGTTCTAATTCCACGTGCCATGCCTTTGGTTATCCTCAGTTTCAGTTAATTCCCCTTGATAACTCAACTCTCCAAGTTTTTGTTCCCTCTTCTGTGGCTAGTTATTGAATTAACAACCCTTTGGGTCAAATATCTTTTCAATCAAT